CTCCTCCTCCTCCTCCTCCTCCTCCTCTTCTTCTTCTTCTTCTTTGTCTTCTTCTATCATCATTATTATCATCTTTTATATCTCTCTATGTAGAAATGGCGATGTATGTGTGTAAGTTCCAGCATAACTCTGGAGTGCCTCGAGCAATTTCAACCAAACTTGGTGCACAGATGACTTACCCTCTGGAAAAAAATACTGTGGGGGGTAAGATACCCCTAACACCCCTTGGGGAGTCTGTTCTGTTAAGATACAGCCTATTGTGCCTTAAAACGGCTTCTACCGTACTTCCTTAAAATGGCTTCTACTGTACAGCGCTGTGGAGTTGCCATGGTAACAGCCTTACAGTATTCCACAAGGGGGCTCTCTGTGGTAAGGGGGAAAATCCAACATTAGAAATTACGTTTGGCCTGGACATTTTCCCCCTATAAATAAATACCCGGACAACACAGGGTTATCAGCTAGTAAAACAATAAAATAAACAAGGTAGAAAGTCCTGGAGCAAAATTGGAGATTTTTTTTTTTCCCACACAGAAAATTGTGGCAGATGAAGGGTGTGGGGGCGGAAAGATAGGGGAGAGTCATCTTCTCAAATTGGGGATGCCCAATCTGGAGGAATCATAGATGGTGCCATCATCTAGACACGGAAAATGTAGCAGGCAAGTCTCGGAGAAGGGACACGACGTTTTGTTGCATTGCCTTGGTCCCTAAATATAATCTTAATACTTGGCTTGTATTGGTGTGGGGGTGGGTGGGAAGGGGGCTTGTCACATTTTATAGTATTGTCTGATTCTCAGTCATCCAAGTCACGATTGTCCCAAAGGTGCTTTTTTTTTTTTCAAAAGGCAGCTGGACTTTTCTTTGTTTTTGTTTTTGTTTTTCCCTTGAAGAGGTTTTGCTTCTCGTCCAAGAAGCTTCCTCCGTTCTCATCTCATCCAAGGAGCTCCCTCAGAACCTGAAGAAGCCTCTCGAGGGAGAAGCGAAACCTCTTCGAGGAAAAACAAAGCCCGGTTGGCCTTTTGAGAAACCACCTTTGAAGAAATTTCAGTTAGCTTATGAACGAATGAACAAGGAATGTTACAACTTGTCTAAAGTTAGCTTTACAAAAGGGGAGTTAAAGTACAAGCGAGGGACGATGCTAAAGTTAGTTTTTTTAGTGTATGATTGCTAAATGTTTATACCCTGTATTTGCTCTGGGAGATGGGGGGGAGGGGGTGTGGGATTGGGGGGGAGGGAACGAAGGGGAAAACTATATAATTGTAAAACTTATTAAAACTTTTAATAAAAGAAAAAGAAAAACCACCCTTGGGACATTTTTCCGCCATTGTTTGTTACAGCCTGCTGCCATTGTGTGTGTTGCGTTGATATTTCTCTTATGACTTGTGACCCAAGGCTGAGAAACTCTCCCTTTCTCTCCCAAAGATTGCGTGTATATCGAGAGCCGTCGGCCCAATACACCCTACTTCATCTGCAGCATCCAAGACTTCAAACTGGTAAGCAGCCAGATTTCTCTCTTTCTGAATATAATATTTCTCTGGGCTGAGACCCCCCCCCCCTCAGCCGTGAATGCCCGCCCGCCCGGGGTTTGTATCTGACCGTGTGTTTATGATGCTGGTTTGTGTGCTGCGGAGGGGGTCAACGGAAGGCTTCCTTGATGGATTACAAGCTGTCTTTTCCCCCAGAGCCGGAGCACTGCCTCAATGGAGTATTATCTGGATTATCTGGCTAATTAGCTGTGGCTAGTCATATCCTCCGTGAATTTCCCCTCCAGGTGACTTGCCTGGTTGGCATGCGTGGACAAATGTGTATTTTTCTCAGCTGGTTTTGGCTGAATTTTTTCCCCCCTTCGGATTCTCCACTTTCAAGAAGAGACTGTCAGAAATGGTGTAGGGTTTCCTGCTTGGGAGGGGGGGGTTGGATTAGATGACCTTCTAGGTCCCACAAAATACTTTGTTATTCTGTTGTTCTATTAGCCAGAGGTTATGGGAGCTTCATCCCTGGAAGCTTTCAAGAGGAGACTGGGCTGCCATCTGTCAGAAATGGTGTAGGGTCTCCTGCTTGGGCAAGGAGGGGTTGGACTAGATGACCTACAAGGTCCCTTCCAACTATGTTTTTCTGTTATTCTTCTATTAGCCAGAAGTTGTGGGATCTTCATCCCNCTTCTATCCTACTGATGTCCGACTCCGAAGGCAGCTGGTAACTGTCAGACGGCCCTGGACCCCTCTCTGCCTCCGACACAGAGCCCTCATCAGAGGCTTCCCCAGACTCCAGGACTGGCCCATCTTCCTCCCCAACCTCCTCACTTTCCAAATCTGCTGCCAGCTCAGCTGGCCACTGGCAGGCCCCAACACTTACAATTGGATTCCCAACTTGGGCCACATCACGATTGGGCCTCTTTGTGAGCCCCAACTTCTCATGTCCAATAAGCAATACAATGGTCAGTCTCACCACCACCATAGAAAGGCTGAAACATGTACTCTGGTACCTGGGTATTCAGCTGCTTTGAAACTCATCATGTTTGGTACTCGACTCAAAAAGTTTGTCCTGGTACTCGTCATTTGTTCAGTACGCAAAGTGCAAGCCAGTTGCCTTGTATCTTGTTACCCTCTCCAACTGAAACAAATTCGTTTGGTTCTCATCGTACCTCCTGGAACCAATTAAGGATGAGTACCAAGGGTACCACTGTGGTTATAATAACAGCATCTTGTGGCATCTGATTATGCTGGGCCAGAGGTCATCCTTGCTCATCCTAATATCTTGCTTGTTTTCCATAGGATTGTCCCGTATTTTTTGGATTATAAGTCACACATTTGTTCCCCCTAAAAGAGCATGGAAATGTTGGTGCGTCTTATACACCGAAAACAGCCATTTTTGGCCTCTCGAAGCCCCCCCCCCCCGCATCACATTTTTGCAAAAAATGGGCCGTTTTGCCTTCCTCCAGCTCCCAGCAGCACTCTAGGCTTAAGCAGGGCTGGGGCAAGGCAAAGAGGTCCCTGTTTTTGTGAAAAATGGGTGAAAAATGGGCCGTTATTTGCAAAAACAGAGACTTTTTTTGCCTTGCCCCAGCCCTGCTGAAGCCTGCAGAGTGCTGCTGGAGGCTGAGGAACGGCAAAAACTTTTTTTTCTTACTTACCATATTTTTCGGAGTACAAGATGCACCGGACTATAAGACGCAGCAAGGTTTTGAAGAGGGGAAAAAAAGTTTTTGCACTCTGCAAACCTCCCAAAAACGGCCCGTTCCCCACTCCCAAAAGGCATGAATAGCCTTTAAGGAGCTTGCAAAGTGCTCCTAGAAGGGGGGGCAAAAACAAGCAAAAAAGGGCCCTTTTTTGCGAAAACGGGCCCATTTT